GACTACATAGAGACCCTGTCTCAACCCCGCCACCAAATAATAATAATAATACACTGAACACGTCAATTAATTGCTTGCCACCTTTAAAAAATAATCAAAAGGGGCTGGGGATTTAGCTCAGCGGCATAAGCACCTGCCTTGCAAGCAGGCGGTCGTGAGTTCAATCCCCGGTACCGATAAAAACGAAAAAGACAAAAAAAAAAAAAAAAAAAATCAAAATAGTGGTTAAGTAACATGAAAAAACATTTACCCAAACTTAAACTTTTAAAGAATCTGAACAAAATGTGTATATTTACTATAATACCATAGGAGGGAATGTTTGTGCATGTGGATAAAGCCTAGATGAGAAGTATAAAAATGAGATTTTCATGAGATATTAGGTAGAGATTTTAGGTTATGATATTTACTCATTTTGTTTTGTTTTGTTTTTTCTGTGGTACTAAGGACTGAGCCTGGGCCTTCACACTGAGTCTCATCCTCGGTCCTATATTATTCATTCTTACCACAGGTTCTCACTAACCTGCTCAGGTTGGGCTGGGAATCTGCAATTCCCCTGTCTCAGCCTCCCAGAATGTACTTCCAGAAGGAGCAGGAACCCTTCAGTACACACAGCATTCACATATATTTTAGACATTTTGGAGCTGCTGCTCTGAGAAGTCAGGTTGGTTCTAAGAGCCTTCAGAAATCACCCATATTCAATGTGGTACACATAAGCCAGTTTCTATGGATCTGTCCATATGCTGGCTCTTCTCTTTGGGGCAGGATGTTCCTAAACTAACTTATGATTCTGAACTCACTGAATAATTTATTTAAACGTTTCCCTATGAAAAAGGACTTAATGAAAGCAAAATTTATTTTATTACAATATAAACATTTTAGCAGTTCTTATATAAAGTCTTCTTTTATGGTCATAAAGAATATCTGTGGGGATGGGGTTTTAGCTCAGCGGCATAAGTGCCTGCCTTGCAAGCAGGCAGTCGTGAGTTCGATCCCCGGTACCAATAAAAAAGACAAAAAAAAAAAAAAAAAGAATATCTGTTTGACTTTCCACTTTAGCCCCAGGACCCAACAAAGTACATATTAGGGTCCCTTTACTATCTGATGGAAAGAATTCTAAAATATATATCTATACTATGTATTATGCATCATTCATTTAACAGTCATTTATGGAAAGCTATTAAAAACAATTGTACTCACTTTACTGTAGATTATTCACAGTGTAAAAATCCTTACCAATAAAAATTTTCTTAGTCATTAGAACATTAAAATCTTCTCTGATCTAAAGTATTTCAAGCCTGGAACAGTGGCACATGCTTGTAATCCCAGCTGGTAAGGAGGTGGAAGCAGGGGGATCACAAGCGCCAGGCCAGCCTGGACAGCTTAGTAGATACTATATCAATAAGGAGAAGAGGGCTGAGGATGCAGTGCAGTGACAGGATGCTTGCACAGCATGAGTGAGGGCCTTGGTTCAATCCCGGTTATGCAAAATAAATAAATAAATAAATGCACATTCAACAAAATTATTAACATATAGCAATGAACACTCAACAAATAATTGTTATCTAAAATGTGCTTGTTTTATATATGAATATTATAAATCTAAATTTGTGGACTAAAAATGAAAAAAAAATACAAAAACATTCAAAGAATTATTCCTGCAATGAAACTTAGAAGGGCATAGTTCTTTTAAAATTATAGAGGCAAATTTTTATTTAGACCATTATTACTCTGTTCCATAAAAATTATAATGTTCTATTTAATCTTAAAAGGTTTCAAAGTCCTGAATGCAATATATTATAAAAAATTAGTGGCTCATTTTAGAATCTATGCTTACTACTAAAAAAAAAGTCTAAAAAACTTACAATTAAGCTGAGCTATAACTGCACTGAATTTCTAAGCATTTTTTGGCTGGCTGTTTTTTACTTCATATTAAATGATTAACAGATAACAGTATATTGGCTTAGTTAGACACACAAGCATGTTATTTTGGTAAGATTTTATGTGAATAAAGGCAAATGTTTTGTACATTAATTCTGAGTCAAATAAGAACAATTTTTTTAAAAGACCAATTTAGAAGATACTATAGTTTTTTGTTTTTTTGTTTTTTTTTTTTGTCTTTTTCCTTTTTATCGGTACCGGGGATCAAACTCACGACTGCCTGCTTTCAAGGCAGGCGCTTATGCCGCTGAGCTAAACCTCCAGCCCCCAAGATACTATAGTTTTTAAAGTTCATGTCAGTTTTGACCCAGCAACAACTAAATAGAGTTGTTCTTTGGAGCAAGAATATATACTTTGCAAACCTTCAGGACCTGCATTCATATACATCCCCTGGGAGTCCTGGGGTTTTCTATTGTTTAGTTTCATTTTTTCCTCTGAGGCAGAGTTCTATTTAGCCAGCTGAAAATACTTATTTTCACATGTTCCTATTCAAACCAAAAGTTACAATTTACCAAAATCAAAATGAGATAACAGTAAGAACAAAGAGGAGTGGGGTCAAATTTAAAACAAAAAGTATCTACCACCTTTTTAAAAAGACAGGTAGGGTGAACTTTACACACTTAAGGCATTTGCACATTTAAAATGTAAACATATTTAGAAACGATAGTCAAGTTCTTTAAAAAATTAAATTAGGAATTTAATAATACAAATTTGCACCCACAGGAAATGTTTTTGAAGATTACCACTTGTTACCTGAGAGATACATCTCAAAAAATTGCTAATAGAGTCAAGACAATACAAAATCAAGTATTACAGTGAATAGAGATAAGAATGAATGTGATAAAAGTAAAAGCGTCTAACAAATTCTGGCCAAAGATAATCTGATTTCAGAGAATCCCTTTGCTAATGCTAATTAAAGCTGAAGGGCTAAGAAACTTTATCCCACCTACCTGCTTTTGTCTGCCTGAGAAAGTGGACTTGAAATATTAGTAGACTCCCACTGTACAATTTCTCTGGGCAACTCTGACCCTAGGTGTGAGGGTTGAAGTACCTTTTGGAAGGAACTTTAGACATTACCATCCTAGTCTTCTTCCCTAGTCACTGAAGTACCAGTGTCATACATGGAAAGTGATAGTTTAGTTTTGTTTTTGTTGTTTTGGTACCAAGAATTGAACTCAGGACCTTGAGCTTGCCAGGCAGGCAATGTGTTGCTGAGCTACAGCCCTGGCAATGTCATATTTTTTATAATTATTTTAATAGCCTACATAATAAGATATATTTTTAGGAATTGTTCTTGTAAGTCTTGAAGCATTTTGGGAGAAAATAAGCAAAAGAAGAGTAAGATTTTTGGATCAATTTCCCTACACTAAATGTGCCATTCATTTGTCTTGTTTACCTCTGTTATCACAGCCCTTGGTACCCTAGATGATACAGAAGATTTCAGCAAATATTAATTGAAAAATAAATTATAAATATCCCATGTAAGATTTACTATGAAGTTCAGTGATTGTTTCCTTTAAAATTCATGCAGTATGTAAACACCATGCACTACAAACATGTATAATAAAAACAGAAAGAGATCCAGAGAAGGACAGAAGAGCCATGGGCTGGGTACGTCACCGCAGAAGAGGACCAAGGGGGACCTCAGAGCCTTGGGTCCAGGCCTGCCTCAAGCAGAGGATAAAGAACTGGTGTTCCATCTGCACAGAGGTCAAAGCTAAATACTTCCCACCACTGCCTGTTCCATGATGACTCTGGATGCCATTACTTGGGCAAGAAGTTAAAAAGAAGCAAACACTGATGCTGGTGCCCTTGAGTCCCATGAGTCCTGTTCCCACGCAACACACTGCCCAGCTGAGAACTGCCACTCTGAGCTCCTTGCCAGAGGACACACAAAGTCAGCATGGCTGTACCAGTTCCTGATGCTGTGCTGTACAATGTACTGCTAGGTTTTATCTATGAACATCTACTCCTTTTTATCACTGGAAATGGTTCCTTTGCTTGTTTCTCTTTTTTGTTTAGCAGTGTCGAGGACTGAATCCATGGCCTTTTACATGCTAGGCGAGCACTGTAATACAGAACTACATCTTCAGCCCCTCCCCCTCTTGACTTATTGGCAAGTTCTAAAGTGCTGGCTTTGTTACTGGAAATTCCTATTGCATGCTGTACAGAAGTTTGATGTTACTCTAAAATGGGTCATAATCCTGATGTACATTTTATATCTCCAAAGAGACCAGCCCTGAGAAAGACTAAGTATTTTTTCATTGAGATGATCAATAATACACATATTTCCCATAATGCCCATATTCACCATCAAAAACAAAAAAAGTGAGAGATATGAAGGGATGTGGGAGGGAAGAGCCAGAGGATAAAAAAAGCAATTAAAATAGCCAGGCATGGTGGCACATGCCCATAGTTCCAGCACCCAGGAAGCTGAGGCAGGAGGATTAACATGAGTTCCAGGCCAGCCTGGGTCACATGCCAGCATGAACTATTTAGCTAGAACCTGGCTCAAAAAACAAGGAAATGAACAAACAATGTTATATTCTATACGTACCAACTGCCCACAAGGAATGTAGATATTAGGTACTACAAACATGTACTAATACATGAATAAAAAAATTAAAGTGGTCAACAATACCTATAGTTGCTAAAGTTTGAAGGTATATATATATATACATACATATATATATATATATATATACATACATATATATACATACATATATGTATGTATATATATATATATATATATATATATATACACATATATATATATATGATACGAATTTTGGTTTTGTTTTTTTGGTAGCAGGGATTGAACTCATGACCTCGCACTTAGGACCTCACACTTGCCAGGCAAGTGCTTACGCTGCTAAGCTAAATCTCCAGTCCTGAAAATGTATTTTTTTAAAAGTATTAAGCATGTATCTGTTTTCTGAAGAAAGCTTTTAAAATCATAGCCAAAAATAAATAAATAAAACAAAAGCTAAATACAATATCATGGAAACTAATGTGAATATATTTATGTAGAGCTTTTATCATTCCAAAACAACACATACCTGCCATCCCTTCCTCAGCATTCTGTTCTTTGAAATGGAAGGATATTCCTTCAAATCAGGTGTCTAGCTCAGGCCATCCTCACAAAGAGGTCCAAAGTACCTATCAGTCTTCTCCTATTAAAAAAAAGTACCATCAATCATTTTATTATTCTAGACATGATTAAGGAAATTTACAGTTTATGCTTCAACTTTTTAAATATAAATGTAATTTGGAGAAACTTTAATTTCTCATAAAAAAAATTTAACACTGCCTAAATGCCTAACTCAATACTGATGGAAAACACAAATTCAAACCTATGCATTAAACATTTTACAGAACCAAGAAATGATCAGACTATTTCTATAAAATTCTAAAATCTGAATGTATGAAGCCTACTATGTAAAAATTGAGATTTTGAAATTAGGAATTAAAATTAACACACAAAAGTTTTAAAGGACAACTTAATCAGAGTTGAAAGCAGTATTAGTTTATACTCATACACATGGACCCATGAATACTTGTGTTCTAATTTACTGTGTATTAATTGGAATGGGGAGGATTACTAATGCTGAAACACAAACCAATAAAGACTTGAATCCACTAGAGATACTCAACTCCTAAACAACAGTTTATCTAATGTAATGGTGCATAAACCTTTAGCTTTTACTAGAAAGCTACTACCAAATGGCTTTATAATCATTTGTGAAGCACTGGTGCTGTATAATTAAAAAAAAATGAAAATCATTCTCTGAAAATTAAGATTAATGTTCAAAAATGTTTCGTATATCACCCAATATTGGTTTATTATTTAAACCAACTGGGATCTTTTAATAAAAACTTGCTTTTAATAATACTTGCTTCTCTTCCTATAATACCATAAAAAATACTAGGATGAAAGCATTTTTTTTTTTTGTTCTTAAAGCACCAGTTCTCTACAAACCACAGTGAATGACAGTAAGGAAGATAATTTCTCAAAATGCTTTTTCTTTTGATGTATGCTGATATTATATCCAAGTTTATAAAGAACCCTCTTAAGTCAAGAAATAATATTAAATACATCAATATATCCTTCAGGAAAATACTTTTAAGTAGACCTGAATCTTGGCTGAAGATTTTCATGAAAAGCAAAAGGGTATTTTCCTAGTAGGCCCAGTGATGCAACCTATCTCCTTGGCCGGGGATTCTACCACCGCATTTCCTGCTGTCTGTTATTTGGTCACTCTTTAGCTATCCATTTACAGGATGTGGACTAAAGAGAAGATAGGAGCCAGCTGCCAAAGAGCGAGGTTATTTTCCAAAATGAATTATTAATATTGTAGGAAATTCATACCCTACTTTTTAATCCATTCTTAAATCACACAGTAAATGCAAGGTATTTTACGGCATGAGTCTCTGGAGAAGATGTGCTAAAACGGGTGAAGTCCCAGGACAAGAGGAGCTCTTCTACCCTGCTGAACGAGACATACCCACCTGATGCTACTTCAATTTCCGATTCAGGGGTTGCCCTGTAACAATTCTAATTCAACAGGTGCTTTAAAATTTAGGGTGGATCAATTTCAAAAATCAAAGAGTTCATCTCTACCTTGTACACTATATAATAAAGTGGAGCAAGTTGTTCTAGGCAGTAGACAGAGACCAAGCACTGCCACTTGTGTGTGCTGACTTTTGGCCAGTGACTTAGGCTGTCTGCCTCCACCCCATCATCTACAAAATGGGGCAATAACAGTACTTACTTAATAGGGTTGTATGAGGGTTGAAAGAAGTAACACTTAAAGTTTTAGAACATTTCCTGGTACTTAGTAAGAACATGCTAGAGTTTTCTGATCTTATTTAAGATATTAAGTTCAAGTTGTGTAACCAAGGAAGCCTTTTGTTTGACATTTGCTACATATCGACAAATTATAAAATACATAATTTTAAAATCTGGGTAACAACCAATACATTTTATTTTCCCATTTCATACCTTTGAACATATTAAACAATGCTAGAACCAGTTGGTTTTAACAATATATTTTTTTCTTTTTTTTGGAATTCAGGACCTCGAGTTCACCAGACAAGAACTGTGCAGCTGAGGTAAATCCCAGGCCCTTTTAACAAGTAAATATTTTATATATACACACTTTCTCTGACCTTAGCTTCAAAATGAATCATTACTCTATGACACAATTGTAAGAGGTTTTTCATAGAACAAACCTCTGATACAAATAATCTTATAGTAATTGAGAAATTATTTTCTTATCAACATTCATCCTCCCAAATCTAGTCCATACCCAGTAAAGCTTTAACACAGTTCCTTTTTACAGTTCTAGGATATAATATGAACTCAATTAGAAATAGAAGAAAAACATGAGGAAATTGCTGAGGAATAGCCAAAATTTCCTATTTCCAACAACCAAAAAAGAAAAATAAAAACTTTGAGGAAAGAGAAAAAAGAGAAGTCAGAAACCAAAGAACATTAAATCAGGAAAATTTAATGAGCTATTAGTTTTTTAAAATGATAAGTATGTCTATGATATGGTTACCACTTTAATATTTCATCAGATAAACTTTGGTACGATTTTTAAAATCTAAATCTAAAACTGTAAACAAGGGCCAGGGATTTAGCTCAGTGGTGCAGTGCCATCCTGGCAATTGCAAGGTCCTGAATTTAATTCCCAGTAACAAAAAAGCAAAAAAAAATTTCTGCATTAAAAATGATTTATTCGACTAAATTCCTTTAAAAAATATCTTTTCTAAAACTGTTCACATGTACTTTTCTTCTTGCTTTGAGGTTTGCACTGAGCTACAACGCCAGCACACCTTGCCTCTTTTGAAGACAAGATAAATCTCTAAATTCTGCAGCCTGAGCCCAAATTTAGGTCCTCCGATCTCACCTCCCAAGAGCGCTGAGCATATACCACCACATCCAACTCATAAATACTTCTGTTTTAAAATTTACTATTATATTCATTTAGTCCAAAAATATATAATTATTATTTATCCTTGTGTGTGTACTTATATCTTTATGCCTCTTAAATAAATACATTATGGGGCAGGGTTTTAGCTCAGCAGCATAAGCACATGCTTGGCAAGCACGAGGTTGTGAGTTCCTCAGTACAAACAAAAAACACCATTATGGATACTGATTATATAAAATGCCAAAATTAAATATCTTTTTTTTTTTTTTTTTTTTTTTTGGTACCTGGGACCAGCCTAGCACTTGCCAGGCAGGTGCTTATGCTGCTAGGCTAAATCCCTAGCCTAAGATTAATATCTTTTAAGAACAAAACCTGCCAACTACATAAAAATTTATGTATTAATATTTACTTAAATACAAACTGTATACAATACATATCTCCAAAAATAAACTCAAATATATAATCTAAATCGCCAACTTGAGTCACAGATCTCAGGTTACCCATGACTACAGATACATCAAAGTAACAAGGATAGAATAAAATATTTCAAGAATATGATAGAAATGTTGGCTGTTATTCAAGGGCTAGCATGACAATCTTTTTAACTTTTTTTTTTTTAATAGGTACCGGGGATTGAACTCAGGACCCCACACTTGCAAGACAGGTGCTTATGCTGCTGAGCTAAACCTCCAGTCCCTAGCATGACAATTTTTAAAAATATATAAATTATATTACCTTTAAATTACACAGGATTATGTAAAAGGATTTTTGTTCAGATACTTAAAGGCATGTGCTTACCATAATATAAATAAACAGTTTTGATGTGTAACTCTTGGGAGGATTACTGTAAATTCAAAACCAGCCTGTGTTATAAAGAGAGCTCAAGGCCAGCCTGAACTGCATAGTGAGACTGTCTCAAAAAAAAGATATATAATACTAGCTAGACCCATGACAGTACAACAGGTAATCCAAACAGTTTCCTAAATAATTGCATTGACATTAGATTAAAAACTAGCAAGCACATACTAATAAAAAAGTTTAATAAAAATAGTTTTTAAAAAAGATCCTAGATTTGGTACTGAACAGCTAAAATTGTTAAAATTCAAATGAGCATTTTAAATCCATTATGCTACAAATAAAAAGGTTATTTCCTTAGCTCCATTTGTAATGAATTTAATTTTAAAAGCACTTTCATTAAGTATGAACCCATAATTTGATGTCTCAAATATCATACTCTGTGCTCAACATAAGAAAATGTATCATGTGAATAAGAAATGTAACAAAAAAGGAAAAAGCCCTTCACAATGAGTCACCACACCTGTATTAATTTAATTAATTAATTATAAAATTTTATTCACATATATTGAACAAAAGAATTCACGGGTATTATGAAACATAAATTACTGCTACATTATTTGTGAACCACCCTCAAACCCAGTGAAATATGAAGCTCTGCTACAAGGGAAATAAATCTACTAATGAACGTCTCCACGCACATGCAAGTATGTTTGCAGCTTTAGCATCTTTTCAAACCATCTGGCACCAGTGCCTCTCTAGTTCACCAAGCCTAACTTGTTCAGATTCAAATACAAAAAGCTACGTGCATTTTGAGGAAAACCAAAGAACAGTATGTATGTATGTATAATAATGTCCCAAGTATGAATCTGTAAGCTATTTTCTACTTGAACTGTACCTTTAAAACATTTTTAAAGACATTAAAGATCTTTTGAAAAGACAAGAATGACTCAAGAAATCTGTATGTGTCGTACACTTACCCATGTCCTACTTTTTTTTCTCATTTAATCCCGACTCTCAAAGCATACAAAAAGGTATACCTACGAAGAATTCATTGATGAATGAAATATTGTCATTTTTACAACAAAAAGACTGAAGTTATATATTCTTCTTTGCTTAAAATTAGTCTTCATAACCTTTAAGAAAAGCTTGAAGGAAGGAGAGGAAAAACATTCATGCAAGCCTTTTTTCTTTTATGTCCTGCTACCACATTATTGTCATTGGCAACACTCACATTTCTTTTGCTTAAAATCAGGAGTCAAAATTGTTACTTTAGAAATAATCTACAGATACACTAATGGCAATACCTTTGTTAGAAATAATTTTGTTAATCGGCACTACCAGTTTAACAAATGACTTTTTCAGAACAGTATTTCAGAAACATAATTCACATAGCACTCTATAATACAAGTTAAAGCTTTCAGACAAAGACTGAAAAACAATAAAAATACCAACAAACGTAAAAATGCATTTATATAATTGTACACACACAAACACTCACACACGGTCGCTATTCCTGGGGGGGAGCTGCTTAAGCCTCCTCAACAGTGAGTCCCCATCTTGTAATTTTTCATTTTTTGCTCTCATATTAGTCTCCAAAGGAACTGCTCCTTCTTTCAAGTTACTCAAATCCCACATCACAAATTCTCTATTTTCTTACACTTTTCTCTTAAAGATGAGCTCTTCTCCTCTTTTCTTAGAAAGCTAGGCTGATGACAGAAACGCGCTGTGGAATCCCTCTTCCCTGACATTCCTCTTGTACCATTCCCATTCCTGTTTCCTAATTTACCTGCCGAGGTCTCCCATCGACGCCTTCCCCGAGGCTTGATCCTTCACTACATAAGCTAAGGAAATCAAAAGGTATCTTTCCTGCTGCGAGGTTTTGCTCTTTCTTCACTGTTACCCACGGAGGGGACGAGAAGGGAAAGCGTACTGAAACAAAGAACGTCAAGTCCTTTTACTCGCAACTTTGGTATAAATGCCTCGGGAAAGCGCCTCGGGAGGCCTCCTTTTGCCATCGGACCCTCTTAGTCCTTCATCCCGCCCAAGAACCCCTTCAGGCGTGGCGATTCCCCAGGGTCAGCACGCCCACCCGCCCCGGTCTGTCAACCGACCGGGATAGACAGCATTTCCATTCAGCTTGGGGAACTTCTTCCCATCGTAACCTAGTTCTTGAAGACTCAACTCTGAGCCTCCCCCAGGGCGGGTGCCCAGCTATCCTCAAGGGTGACCCTGGACTCTATCCCCAAGCTAGCGCTCAGCTCCTGCAGGACTCTCCCGACTTCGGGGAGACTGCATCCCAGGGAGCAGGCTCCCAGTCCCCTGAACCCCAACAGCGCCCGGGCGCTCTGGCCCTGCGGCGTCCTCTTCCTGGGACCCGTCCTCACTGTCCGCCACAGTTCCGAGTGGTCGGGTGTGTTCTTCTGCAGGGGTTTTCCAGGCTGCAGGACCCCGAGAGCGTGACAGGGCTGCGCGGACTCTCGAGCGCCCACAGGCCCGGGCCCCCACAGCCGCCGGACAGGCACGGCCCCGCGGCTCCACCAGTCTCTCCCGGGAGCCTCCTCTACTACCCTGAAGCCCCACAGCCCTACGGCCCTCGCCCCGCGCCCACCCCAGCGCCGACGCCCGGCCGCTACCTACGGGGGCCGCCGCGCCTCTCAGAGCCCCGCCGCCGCCATCTTGCATCTCAAACCCGCTGCACTTTTCAGGGAGTCAACTCTGACCTGTGAACCCTACACCCGGAACCACTTGGCGGGGCCGCTGTCGGGCTTCGGAGCTCAGCGGCCTGAGGGACCCCGCGTAGGGGACAAGCACAGATGCACGCCGTAGTGGCCGTCAGGGGCCAGAGAGGGCGAGGAGAGCCAATCGAGGGGGCCTTCGCGTGCTCCCACCCTGCGGGCTGCCGGCTCCCACGCCTGCCCCACAGCTCCGGGATCCCACCGTGCAGCTACCAAGTGGGGCGCGCCGCGGGAGGTGGGCAGCTGCCCCGCCTCCTGTCAGCGGAAGCCACGCCCCCGAGCGCAGCGGCCACGCCCCCTGCCGTCATTCGCTCCGCCCGCGGGCGCCAGATCCCCGGCGCACTCTGGGGTCAGGCCGAAGACAGCTCCGCCTTCCAGGAGCCCCGCCCCGCCGTCGCCGTCGCCGTCAGATCTGGAGAAGTAGGCTCACTGTCCTCCACCGCTACGCCCCTTGGCCTCCGAACCCATCTCCAGGGGCCGTTCTGCCAGGCCCCGCCCCCGAGAAGGCCCTGCCCCGGCACCGGGAGCCCCGCCCTTTGTCACTCGCAGCCCCGCCCCGCCACGGACCCCGGGAGTTCGGACCAGGCGGCGCCGTAGCGGGAGAGGCCCGAGACGCTCCCTCCCACCAGGCCGCGCTGCCTCCGGGAGCGCAGGGCTCAGTAGCAGCGACGGCGCCACAGCACCCCCAGCCGCCCTCCGCCTCGTGGCCTGCGCGGAGCAGAACCGACAGAGAATAAGCCCCAAGCCCCCGGAGCCGGGCGCGAACCGGGCATGAGCGCTATTTGTGTACGGAGCGTCGACACAAAATCGCGTGTTTCCCCCGCGCGGACTCAGCACCAGACAGAGAGCCCTCAACCGTGCCGACCGGTTTTGGTCTGCCTGAGGGGTGGCGCGCCCCTGCCCGTAGAGACCTCTGCCTAGGACGCGTTTCCAAAGGAAGCAAGTGATTCCAACGCAGAATGTTTTTTTTTGTTTTGTTTTGTTTTGATTTAGTTTTGTGCTTTTGTCTTTGCATTTAACCACTTTTTATGCCAAACACTTTGGGAAATGTAAAGCTGAATTAGGCCACACAGTCATTCCTCGGTATTAAAGGAAGATTCTTCTGGACGGTCCAGGGTACTACGATCTGAGGAGGACCCTGTGGAAACTGACGCAGGATTGCATAAAACCTCCACGCATCCTCTTGTGTACTTGGAATTATCTCTGGATTACTTATAATACCCAACACAATGTCAGTATAATGCAAATCGTTCTTACACTGTATTATTTTGGGAATAATATAAAGAAAAAAAGTCGATGTATATTCAATACGAATGCAACCTCCAGCCCCCAACATTTTCCATTCACAATTGGTTGAATCAGGGATATAGAATCCAAGGGCCGGGGGCTGGGGATTTAGCTCAGCGGCATAAGCGCCTGCCTTGCAAGCAGGCAGTCGTGAGTTCGATCCCTGGTAGCGTGAGTTCGATCCCTGGTAGCGTGAGTTCGATCCCTGGTAGCGTGAGTTCGATCCCTGGTAGCGTGAGTTCGATCTCTGGTACCGTGAGTTCGATCCCTGGTACCGTGAGTTCGATCCCTTGTACCGATAAAAAGGAAAAAGACAAAAAAAAAAAAAAAAAAAAAAAAAAAAAGAAAACAAAAGAATCCAAGGGCCTTTTCATGTCTTCCTGTCTTCCAGGAGTTCACAGTGGAGCATAGAAATGCATCAAAGTGAAAGTCGAGGAGAGATCATGAAGAGCTAGAGAGACCCTTAGGGATGAGACCCTTAGGGATGCGGATCTATGAGGAAGACAACTTTCTCTGTCTCTGTGTCTGTGTGTCTCTGTCTCTCACTCTCTCCTTCCCCTTTCCTCTCTTTTTCTCCCTCTGCCTCTTCCTTTCCTCCCTGCGTTACTTCTTCCTTCCTGTCCTTCTCCTCCTCCTCCTCTTCTTTGGCAGCAGGTCATGGTCTCCTCGCTAGAAGCTGGCTGATCGGTTCACTGGCCATGTCGACAGCCCAGAGTCCTCCCATTTTAGGGTCAGGCTTGCAGGGCAGTTTTGTCCAGGAAAACAACTCCTAGCACAGTGCAGAGAACAGTGTCCTTGGCTGAAATGCTGCCAGTTATTTGGTATCCCTGTGCAAAGCAAGACTTAACTATTTGAAAAAGAATGGCTGCAGACGTTAAGCAATATGCCTATATGTTTAGCATAGCAGATTGTGCCAGCCCACATAAATCTGTTTAGAGATCATGTTCACAGAGTAACTTGTTTTTATTAAAATAAACTCATTTATAAAAATTGTAAATATGGCTGATTTTAACAGCTGCGCAGCTCCAAAAGTAATTTTTTATCCATGGATTGGCAAAGTAAGAGTTTACATTTTTTTAAAATGCATATGTTTTGCAATTTGTCATACCCAGACTAGTATGGCAAAACTTCAATACTGTTAAAGATAAGAAGTTGTTCAGAAGATTTTCAAAACCATGGCACTTTTGCTCTTCAGAACCTCTTGCACCTGGACCAACAGCAATAATAAATAAATATACATATATTTTTAGGGAATGACTTTTGAATAAAAAGTTCTAAGTGCCAGTTTCATCTGGAAAAAAGTGAGGGTGTAGCTGCGTGTCTGGATGTGTCTATGTGTGTGCATACGATTTGAGGGACCAAGTTTAGGGCCTCAAGCATGCTAGGCAAGTATGCTACTGAGCTATATTCCCAGCTCTTTCTTAAACTTTGAAATAGGGTTTCACTAATTTGCCGGGCCTGAGCTCAAACTGTGAGATCTTCCTAGGTCAGCCTCCCAGGTAACTGGGATTACAGATGAACAGTACTTATACCAGACTTCGGTATATCCCTTTTGATCTAAAATCTTAGGGAACTTGCAATTGGAAAGCCATACTAGAATGAGAAAATGTACTGATTCACTATGTTGAAAAGTGTTGGCAGAGAAATCTAAGTAGCAGTGTTTAAACTTTAATGTACATGAAAATTAGCAGGGAACTTTGTTGAAAAATAGATTCTTAGAACCCGCGCCCAAGGGTGGAATTCAAGGGGTCCTGGACAACATGATGAATTTGTACTTCACTAGTAACCTTACTGTGCATGAGCTGCAGACTTTGAGAAGTATTGACCTAAATGCTTACAATGAAGAGAAAACTTATTCACTAACACTGAAGTCAAATATCTATGTCAAGTCCTCCATCCTCTGTCATTTGCTACTTTGTATCAAGCAGCAGTTGCTGTATAACAAAGCCACCAAAGTTTAGCAGATCAAAAGACTAAACAGTTCTTTAATCCTAGGTCTTGGGTAAGTTAGGTGGTTCTGATGATCTGGACCAGGCTTGGCTAATCAGAGATGGACATACTCGTGTGTTTGTGGTCAGCAGGTAGGAGGCGAGGGGCTGCCTGTCCAAGGGAGCTGTATTCACATGGCATGGCTGGCTCACCCACTGGTCTCCATCACAGCACCACAGGCTGGCTGGGCCATGGTCTCCCATCCTCCTGTGGAATATCCCAGTCTCATTCCCATGTAGACATGGGATTCCAAGAAGCTGCACACAGCCTTGAAGACATCTTGGAGCTTGGGCTCAAGGCTGACACATTTCAGCCATAGCTGACTGGCCTGACCCAGTCTGGAACATGACCCAGCCCCTACTTGATGACAGCAGCTGCAGTGTCAGGCTACAAAGGATGATTGTGACATTTCTGTCATCAATTTACCATACTATGTGACTGTTATGGTTTAGATAAAAAATATCTTACAGTCGGGCTTAGTGACACATATCTGTAATCCCAGCGCTCAGGAGACCGGGGCAGGAAGATGTCTGTGAATTCGAGGTCAGCCTGAACTGCATAGTGAGACCCTGCTTCAAAAAAAGAAAAAAACAAAATACAAACAAAACAAAATATCTTTCAGATTGCTCACATGTTCAGAGGTGTTTAGAAAGTGGTTAGATCATGGGCACTAACCTTACCACTAGGTTAATCCATTGCTAAATTTGTAGCTGAGTGTGTTCTAGGAAGCAATGGGAGGAAGGTCCTTGGGAGCAGGCCTTTGGAGGGCAATGGTTCTCTGCTTTCTGGTTGCCCTCGGGCGAGTGCCTTCCTCTTCCACACCTTTCTACCATGACATTTCTGCTTTGCAGCCACTAACCATGGACTGAAACCTCTGAAACCAGAGCCAAATTGAACTTGCCCTTCTTTAAATTGTGGGTGTCAGGCCCTTGGCTCCAGCAATGGAATGCTAATACAGTAACCTTCACCGTTTTTTTTTTCTTTCTTTTTTTTTTTTTTGGTACCCAGGATTGAATTTACAACCTCGTGTTTGCCAAGCAGCCGCTGAGCTAAAGCCCTGGCCCTACAGTAACCAAAGATAGTTTTTGATCTCTATTATGTCTGCTTTTACTCATGTGTGAAATGAAAATAATGTTACCATATTCGAATCTCATGTCAAAAGGTTGACAGCTGATGCAGAAGGTCTGGCTCTTCCTGATTTCTCAGCAAATATTAGCCATGCTGACACTAATGATGTCTTCCAGGGCCTCCCAGCCTGAGTCTTAGGAATTCATACAGACAAGAGAGGGGGTGGATTTTAAGTGGCCCCTTAGGGAAGAATGTTGTCCCTGATTCCTCACTCGAGATTTTAGGGGTTCCAGTTAACATTTCTGCCTGTGGATATGGAAACCGCTAAGCTAGCTCAGCTCAGGAGGCAGGCCCTCCACCCTGTTCATGCGTAGGCCTGCTCCCTCTTCTCCTCTGACTCCCTTTAAGACTCTTCTAGAACACGGCCCAGCCAAGGGGCCTCTGCAGACACCCAGTACAGCTCTGGAGCTCTGTCCACGAAAGATGCATAGCCTGTGTCTCAGTGCC